GATGGGAGTGTCAGAGACAGTGCGATTGGCACAGGACAGAGCAGAGTTTAGGGCTTTTGTACATAGGGTCGCTATGAGTCGCGGGCGACTCGACGGCACATAACAACAACAACAACAACATTATATATATATATATGTCTGACATGGGTAGTTGAGAGAAAAATAGGGTAAGAAAGGATCGAGAATTACTACTGTGTTGAAACAAGTGAATGAAAAGACTATCTAAAAAGATTATGTGATTAGGCATTGAAGTCATATTTTTATTGAAGGATTGTATTCCAAATAAGAAAATTATTGTCACTGAATAAAGAATCCATTTTTAAGTTTTATGTACCCAGTAATCAGAGAGAAATAACTGATATTAGTGGCCCAGAAATCATGAGGATGACACACTATAGAGCCGGGTTTAAATCTGTTGTCACTCTCAACTTGATGGTAACTAACTACAATAATTGTTAGATGTTGTTCTGTCAATACAAAGGCGTTCAGTTTGAACACATCAGCTGCTCCACAGGAGTAAGAAAAGCCATCTCCTTTAATGTGATTACAGCCTTTGAACACCTGTTGGTGGATCAGCTATGAGTTGGTTCTGATACGAACATGATGGCACATTAAGCGTAGCAACAACAGTACAAATGCAAAACATCAATTTATTTGATGATACAGAGTTATGGCAAATATATGTATTGTTGTTTTTATGTGCCATCGAGTCACTTGAAATTCATAGTGATCCTATGTACAAGAGCCCTAAACCCTTCTCTATCCTGTGCTAATATCACTGTCTCTAAGACACATACTTGCATTACCCCAATCACTGAATCGATTCATCACATCAAGGACCTTCCTCTCTTTTGCTGTCCCTCCACCCTCCCAGCGTGCCCAAAGTATGTTAGATGAAGCTTCAGAATCCTTGTTTCCAAGGAGCAGCTCAGTTTCACCTTCTCCAGGACAAACCTGTTTGTTCTCCTAGCACTCCGTGGTATATTCAGCACTCTTCTCCAGCACCACAGCTCAAAGGCATCAGTTCTCTATCATTCCTAGTCCTTGTCCAGCTCTCTGACACGTAGCACACAACTGAGAAGACTCTGACATAAATCAGGCACATCTTAGTCTCCAGCCTTACACCGTTGCTTTATTCATTTATATTGTTGATTTAGTCATTGCAAATATATTTTATGACAAACAGAAACACGGGCTATACACATGGCTTTCACCTGATGATATTCATAGTAATCAAATTCATTACATCTGTGGAAAGAATCACTGAAGAAGCTCAGCATCAGCTGTGAAAACCAGACCAGGTGCTGATTGTGGAACAGAACACCAGCTACTCATATACAAGTTCAATCTGAAATTGAAGAGAATAAAATAACATCCACAGGAACCATATTGTTTTGTTTTGTTTTTAGGAATAAAAATTTGACCTTAAGTCTATCCCAGTTGAATTTTAAAACCATCTCAGGAACAGGTTTGAGGCCTTGAACACCTATGAGTAAAGACCCAATGACCTGAGGGTGAATATAAAGAATATTGTCCATTTAGAATGTAAAATATCTTTACAAAGGCAGAAGAGGAAGAAAAGACCAAGATGGATGTCAGATGAGACACTGCATATTGCATTAGAGTACTGAGAAGCCAAAGCTAAAGGAAGAAATCAAGACATTCAAGAGCTGAACAGAAAATTTCAAAGGGAAGCTCAGGATGACAAAGCAAGGTATTATAATGAAATGTGCAAAGAACTGGAGTCAGAAAATAAAAAGGGTCAAACACCCTTAGTATTTCTTTAGCTGAAGGAATTGAAAGAAAACCTCAAGCCATAAGTAGCAATATTTAAGTGTGCTTTTGGCAGAATGTTAAATGATCCAGGAAGCATTAAAAGAAGATGGGAGAAATATACAGAGTCACTGTACCAGAAGGTATTGGCTGATACAGAATAATTTTATGAAACAATAAATGAACAATAGCCCATGGTGATGAAGGAAGTTCAATTTGCTTTGAAAGAATTAGCAAGAAACAAGGTTCCAGGAGTTGATGGCATACCAATTAACGTATTTCAACAAACAGACGCTGCCCTGGATGTGCTCACTAAGTTGTGCCAAGAAATCTGGAGTATTCAAAGTTACACAACGGAGCACTTTTTGGTAGTGTAATATAACTTGTCAGGGGCTAACCCTAAGAACAGCAGTTGTAATCCACCATTTGTTCTTTGAAAGAAAGGTGGGCAGTAACAATAAAGTTTCAGAAAAGTGGGGTAGCCATGACTTGGAGTAAACTAAATGGTGATGATGGTTTTTGTGTACCATTGAGTCGGATCCAACGTATGATATCCTCAAACTATGTGCCTTTGAGATTGCAGTGCAGCCTTGACAATAGGCTAGCAGAGTTCCCTAAATGCTAGTAGGTTGTATTATAATGCTAGTTTTTATTCAGAGAGGAGCTGGTAGATTAAAACAACATACTTTTGCATTGACACTACAATTTTTTACCACTAAGCCACCAGCATTAAAATACAATTGTTGTTGTTGTTATGTGCCATCGAGTCACTTGTGACTCATAGTCGCATACCCTATGTACAACAGCCCTAAACCCTGCTCTATCCTGTGCCAATCTCACTGCCTCCAACACACCCATCCCGATTACCCCAGTCACTGAATCAATCCACTTCATAGAGGGTCTTCCCCTTCTGCGCTGTCCCTCCACCCTCCCGAGCATGAAGTCCCTCTCCAAGGACCTGTCCCACCTAACAACATGTCCAAAGTATGTCAGAAAAAGCCTCAGAATCCTTGCCCCTAAGGAGCAACCTGGTTTAACCCTTTCCAGAATGAATCTGTTTGTTTTCTTGGCAGTCCATGGTACATTCAATACTCTTCTCCAGCACCACAGCTCAAAGGCATCAATTCTTCTTCTATCCTCCCTAGTCATTGTCCAACTCTCTGATGCATAACAAGTGATTGTAAAGACTATAGCCTGTATCAAACGCACCTTAGTCTCCAGAGAGACACCATTGCTCTTCAGTACCATGGAGAGGTCCCTAACAGAAGACTTTCCCATTGCAATATGTTTTTTTATTTCCTGGCTACTAGTTTCAAGAGTGTTGACCATGGAGCCAAGCAGACTAAAGTTGTCAACAATCTCAATCTCTTCACCATCCATCTGATGCTGCCAATTGGCCCAGTGGTGAGAATCTTTGTCTTCTTGACATTGAGCTTCAATCCATACTGATGGCTGCATTCCTTGACCCTCTGCAGCAAGCATTTCAGGTCCTCCTCCGTTTCATCAAGCATGGTTGTGTCATCTGCATAATGCAGATTGTTAATAGATGTTCCACCAATCCTGGCACCACACTTCTCATAGAGCCCAGCCTCTCAGATAATCTGTTCTGCATACGGGTTGAAAAGGTATGGAGTTGGGACACATCCCTGGCATACGCCTTTCCCAATTTTGAACCATACAGTGTTTCCATGCTTTGTTCTGATGACTGCCTCCTGGCCCAAGTATAGGTTTCACATTAGCACGATCAAGTGTTCTGGGATTCCCATTCTTCTCAGAGTCAGGCACAGTTTGTTATGGTCCACACAATCAAATGCCTTTGCATAATCAATGAAACACAGACATTCTTCTGGTATTCCCTGCTTTCAGCTAAGATCCATCTAACATCAGCTACAATATCCCTAGTACCACGACCCCTTCTAAGCCCAGCCTAGACTTCTGGCTGTCCTCTGCTGATGTGCTGTTCCAGTCGTTTTTGGATAATCTTCAGTAGAATCTTGCTTGCATGTGAAATCAATGATATTATTCTATAGTTTCCACTCTCTGTTGGGTCACCCTTCTTTGGAATGGGAACAAATATAGATATCTTCCAGTCAGTTAGCCAAGTGGTTGTTCTCCAGGTTTCTTGCCACAACTTGGTGAGCACATCCAGGGCAGTATCTGTTAGCTGAAACATGTAAATTGGTATACCATCTATTCCCGGGTCTTATTTTTTGCTATTTCCTTCAAAGGAAAGACAAACTGTCATTTGAGTTAAGAGTAATGGGAAAAGTTAAGAATTAAAAAGGACTTTATAACATCATATTTGAAGCTTGTACTAAAGGAAGGGATTGCTTAGTTCATGATCAAAAGTTACAGAATGTATATGCTTAATTTGTTTTCATCTTTATATTAAATATACGGCTTGTTAAACTAGAGGTGATAGAATTAAGAATGGTCGATGTGAAGTAAAGGGTGAAGTAAGGAGTGAGAAGCTGCAGTTTCTATGTGTAAATCAAATAACGCAGAGTGCAGGGAGAAAACCAACTTCCTTTGCAATTACGGCAAACCTATTAAATCCTCTGATCTGTTCCCAGTAGCTATATTTTAACAAGATTAACATTGTTAATAATAAATATGGCTACAAAGAAAATATGTGGCACAGCCCCTTGGCCAAGTGACTGGAAGAGATCAATATTTGTTGCCATTCCAAAGAAAGGTGACCCTACAGAATGAAGAAGTTATCAAACAATATCATTAATATCACATGTAAGCAAGAGTCTGTTGAAAAGTATAAAAAATTATGTGTATACATGAACAGATACACATATATACATACGTACATACATACATAAATACATACGTGTGTGTGTATATTTGTTGTTGTTAGGTACTATTGATTTAGAACCAACCCATAGCTGACCCTCAAGTGGGTTTTCAGAAGCTAGAGTAAATCATATGGTCTAATTATAAAAAAGCTTTAGGAAAATTGCAAACTATATTGGTGAGAAAAAGCCCAGGAAAGCTTCACTGAGGAGTTGTTTTGATCTTAATTAGAGCAGGTGTACACCTATTACTTCTGGAAATGTAGCCTGGGCTGTTCTAAGAGAATTTCATTGGGACACCTAACCCCAGGCACTCTACAGCCTTTATCTTTTCTGTTCAGACTTCCATTTACCCACACTCAGAGAATATGGAGAAGAAACAAGACCTAAGTCCCTTGAGGATGCTAAAACTGCCACTTTGTTAGATGTGGTGGAAATCAAAATGTGCAGAATTCTCTCCAGGAAAGATCATCACTGTTGTCAGATGCTGTGAGTCAGTAACCCCAAGTACAACTCAACAGAAGCACCACCATGACAACTTCCCTGTGCCCAAAGCCCTTGCACAGTCATTCTATCAATCTCTCACTGACAGACTTCCTCTCCTTCACTGGCCCTCTAGCTTTCCATGCATGGTGTCCTTCCCTTGGGACTGGATTCTCCTGGAAGCAGCCCAACAGTCTTCCCAGTCTTGCATTTAAGGACCACTCTGGCTGTACTACTTTGAGAATAGTTTTATTTATTCATTTGGAGATGGAAATATACCTTCAGAAGTATATAAACTTAGATGGAGGCTATTATTGGAAAACTATGCTTCACATTTTTATTTTTTTAATACAATTTTCTATGCCTCAGAGAGCTCACAATGATTAGGGATAATAGAAGGAAAATTGATGCCTTTGAGCTTTGGTGCTGGAGAAGAGTATTGAATATACCATGGACTGCTAGGAGAACAAACAGGTTTGTTCTGGAGAGGGTGAAGCCCAGCTGCTCTTTGGAGGCAAGGATTCTGAAGCTTCATCTGACATTTTGGACATGTTGCAAGGAGACACCAGTCATTGGAGAGGGACGTCATGCTTGGAGGGTAGAGGGACTGCACAGGAGAGGAAGACCCTTGATGAGATGAATTGAGTCAGTCACTGGGGTAATGGGAATAGGCGTGTTGAAGACAATAAGATTGACAATGGATAGAGCAGGGTTTTGGGCTGTTGTACATAGGGTTGCTATGAGTCACAAGCCACTTGATGGCGTATAACAACAACAACAACAACAACAACAACATGATTTTGTTTTAAAAAATAAAATCACATGGGAGGAGATGACCCATCTTTCTTTGATGGAGCAGCTGGAGAGTTCAAACTGAGAATCTTTGAGTTGGCAGCATAACTCCTTACAATTAGGCCATTTAATAATCACTGGCATTAGAAGATCTTAAATCTAACTTAACCTTAGTTTCTTGCCTAACACCTATTAGTCTTGACACCCTAGGTCTCAGGGTCTTCTACAGGAGGAAATCTCTGTGCTAATGTTCTTCTAGTTCCCCATTTCTAAGCAGATGCTATAATTGTAATTCTTTGCTTTTTCTTTTCTACCATTAGGTATTATATTCAACAATTCCTTGGTCAACAAGAATTCTAAATCAAACTCTCTCAAGCTACCATCTCATGTGACCTATACAATTCGGACCAGTGTCTTATATAGCATGAGAACAGATATGGTAAAAAACCCTTTTTGGAAGTTCCATCCACAAAGCCTACCAGCAGACGGGTTCAAATACAACTATATCTTTGTCCCTTTGCAAGACATGGTAGAGAGGGCCATCATCTCGATCCAGACAGGACAAGACCCTCTGGAGCCCACCACAGAGACACAAGCGATCCCATACCCCTGCTATACTAGTGACCTGTGAGTACCTGGGACTGCATCTTAATTTCCTTTAATTGTTATTTAATCTTTCTGTAATCATTCCAAGAAGCATTAAAAAAGAAAACTTCCTCCTTCCTTTTAGTTTTTTTATATTTATTATTTTATATACCTGAAATAGGAATTCTGGTGGCCTAGTGTTAAGAAGCTGTACTGAAATCTCAAAGGTACACAGGTCAAATCTACCAACTCTTCCATGGGAGAAGAATGGCAGTCTCTTCTCGTTCAATTAACTATCTCTGAAAACCTGCTGGAGGGTCAGCTATGAATTGATTCTGACTCAATTGCATACAACAAGAACCACAACATACATGAAGTAAACATATAGAAAAATAGTTATGATGAAACAAAATAAAATTTGGTGCCAGCCATCTATAATTTTGAATACATTTCAGAGTAAATATGATGAATAATATATACATTCTTTGTGTACTTGACTCTAAGTTTCACTTGTGTAAATATGAGAAACAAAAAAAACAAAGAAGGGTTATAATTTTTTTGCATACATATTTTTAAGAAAGATATAGAGTGACTCAGTTGTGTGCCATGACTGGGCAGAGGTGGTGAGAAATTTCATAGAAGTTTCATAGGAAGTAAGTCAGGACATTTTGATTAAATTGTGTTATTCAAACTGTGTGAATTTATTGGGGGTATTTTAGTAGAAAAGAGAAGGGGAATCTTGGACGAGAGAATTCAGATATGACTTGAAGTGGGTATCCAATGAAACAATCTTTTTATGAAGTTGAGCTTTTTGCTTCTGGCTGACTGGTAACTCAGTCTGTGCTTTGATTTATCTTGGAAGAAACTGATAGTGAAATATTGACCACAATTGATTCCTCACATGTTGAATCCCTGTGTTGTTGTTTTTGGTTTTTTTTTTTTTTTTAAGTCAGCTTAAACAACAAACCAATGAGACATTCTCTCATTATATTTTGTTTCTTTTCATTGGGATTCAGTTTTTCATTGCTATCGAGTTGGAACCACACACAACTGACCCTTCATTGTGTTTCCAGAGTCTGTATCTCACGTGGGAGGAGTTTGCCCATCTTTCTCCCACAGAAGAGCTAGTGGACTTGGACTGCTTGCATTTGGGCTGGCAGCAAACACCATATTGACTAGGCTACCAAAGCTCCTAAGAGGAAGATATAAAAGGAGATAGATGACACAGTGGCTACAACAATGGACCTAAGCACAGCAGACATGGTGAGGATAGTGCAGGACCAGTAATTATTTTACTCTTTTTTGGAGTTCACTTATTGTTGTTATTAGGTGCCATTGTGCTGACTATGACTCATAGCAACTTTATGAACAACAGATCTGAACTTAGATTCATTAAAAGGGACTTTAGTAAACATACTTGTTAGAACTATTGAACAATCACTGTTTTCAGTAGAATTTCATATCCCTGATAATCCTCAGAGCTCAAAATATGTGGAAGCCCAAACTCCTACCCACTTACCCATCCTGTGCTGTGCACTTAGTGGTCTAGAACTTATGTGCTTCGTTGATGAAGCCTTATTGTTGTCATTGTTATGTGCCATTAAGTTGGCTGCAACTCATAGCGACCCTATGTACAACAGCTCTGAATCCTGCCCTGGCCTGAGCCAGTCTCACAGACTCTGACACACTTAACTCCATTGCCCCAGTTACTTTATCAATCCATCTCATCCAGGGTCTTCCTCTCCTTAGCTGTCCCATCACCCTTCTAAGCCTGATATTCTTCTCCAAGTATGCTCAAAGTATGTAAGCTAGAGCTTCAAAATTCTATCTTCCAAGGAGAAACTTGGTTTCACCCTTTCTAAGACAGACTTCTTTTCTTGGTGGTCCATGGTATGTTCAAGACTCTTCTCTAGCACCACAACCCTAATGCATCAATTCTTCTGTCATCTTTAGTCTGTCATCTCTTAACAAAGAGTAGCAGAGGAATGTCTGTGTTTCATTGGTTATGAAAAGGCATTTGACTGTGTGGATCACAACAAATTGTGGCTAACCTTGAGGAGAATGGGAATCTCAGAACACTTGATTGTGTTTATGTGAAACCTATACTTGGACCTGAAGCAGGCGTGGTGTCTACTTCCTAAACAACATGCCTCTGGAAATTCTATGAACTTTGATAAATGTTAATAGCTGTAAAGGGGCTTCAGGCCTTTTTTTGTAGGGTCACTATGAGTCATGCTCAATTTGAAGGCAATCAACAACAACAATATACGTGGACCAGAAAGAAGCCCTCAGAACAGAAAAGGATATCCCTACATAGTTCAAAATCAGGAATGGAGTGTGTCCTGTATTCATACCTTTTCAATCTATATGCAAGACAGATTATTTAGGGGGCTGGGCTTTATGAGGAGGAACATGTTATCAGGATTGGAAGAATACTCATCAACAACCTGTGTTATGCACATGACACAACTTTGCTTGATGAAACTGAGGATGACTTGAAGCACTTGCTGCAGAATGTCAAGGACTGTAGTCTTTAATATGGATTGAAACTCAACATCAATAAAACAAAGCACTTTATCACTAGACCAACTGACAGTACCATGATAGATGGAGAAGAGATAGAGGTTTTTGACAATTACAGCTTGCTCGGCTTCACGATGAACACTCTTGACAACAGTCAGAAATCAAGAAGAAAATTAGTAGGAAAATCTGCTGTCAGGGACTTCTCCAAGTACTGAAGAGCAGCGATGTCAGCATACAGGCTACAGTGCACCTGATCTAGGCCATGGTCTTTGCAATTACTTGCTGCACATCAGATAACTGGGCGATGACTGAGGATGAAGCCTTGTTGTAGATAAAAGAAAGAGTAATTCTACTTTATGAACTTATAATCTTTTTCAATTTCTCTCATCACACAAAC